GCGATCGAAATCCGCTGCAACCTGTTTATACGTCGAGTCAAAATCTTATGGTTAACAGTCAAACAAACCAGGAACCGTATAAAATGTCGGTTTAGACATGTATAACAAAATAAAAATTTGATGTGGCGGCATGATAATTAACATTATCATCCTTTACGACAGACAAAATAGCTGATCTGAAAGGTACACCATCTACTTGCCACTATACATCATGTACTGTGTTACAACCGTAGATAAAGCCGACGAGGAAAGGAATTACATCGACCACCGAAAGCTATATTTTTATGTAGCCTAGATGGTCGAGTGGTCTTCGGCGTTGGACACAATGCAGGCGGTGTTGCCACGATGTCACAGAAGCAAGGGTTCCAGCCCCGGTTGTGGAGGAAGTAAAGAATTAGATCTACTCTAACATTGTTAGGTACTTTATAAGTTTTTATATATATGTAATAAGTACGTCTAAACAAGTGACAACTCTACGACAGATCCATCCATTTTATCACCAGTGAAGGCGATACACGGCTGAAAACAGTATTGTATTCATAATTACTCTAAATATCAGCACAACAATGTTAAATCTGCAAATTTAGTTCAGTCTAGGTGGCCGAGTGGCGCTGGAAACAGTGCAGGCGGTGTTGTCACGATATCCCAATAGCATGAGTTCGAATCCCGGCGAAGGAAGAACAAAAATAGTTGCTTCCGCAAATTTGCAGATTTAACATAGTTGTGCTGATATTTAAAGTAATTATGTATATATATAGAGAATATCATATGGCTTTTTCAATATCACATCCGTATCAACCCGAGACACCAATATAATCCCAAGAGCTCTGCTCGAGGGATTATATTGGTTGAGGGTTCAACTTGATACGGTGTGTGATATTGAAAAAGCCATATCATATACACTTTATTATATACATATACCTCACGTAGATGTTTTTATGTGACATGATGTCATACAGGTAAGGAGGTTTGACATGACGTCATACAGATTAGGGGTTTGATAGCTTTGCAACAGTGACTACAATCGATGACGTGACGTCATACAGATTAAAGGTGTGATAAAGCCTTTGCAACCGTGCTGATATCGATATCATCACGGGTGGCTGATACAGCACGATTGCCAATGATTGTATTACACATACAATTTATCTGTATTTACTACTAAGTATATAATAAATATATATAAGTACGTCTAAACAAGTGACAACTCTACGTCAGATCCATCCATCCACCTAGTGAAGGTGATACACGGCTGAAAACACATATTATATTCATAATTACTCTAAATATCAGCAACTTTTCACATTTAATATTGTTGTGTTTATATACATAACTACTCTAAATATTAGCACATGTTAAATTTTTGTTCTTCCCTCTCCGGGATTCGAACTCATGCTATTGGGATATCGAGACAACACCGCCTGCACTGTGTTCAGCGCTCTAGACCACTCGGCCACCTAGACTGAACAAAAATTCAGCTTTCGGTGGCCTAGTGTTACCTTTCCTCGTCATTAGAATCTAGAGTTGTAACACAGTACATGATATATTAGGCATGAAGATGGCATTGATTGCAGATTAGCTAAATTATCTATGATCGTAAAGGATCGTAAGATGCAGTCACAGATATAGTTATTTGATAAGTACGTCTAAACAAGTGACAACTCTATCTGTCGTAGAACTCTATGAAAATCAGCTTTCGTTTCGGGAGGTGTTACCTTCTCGCATGCATTAAACAAGGACATCTAACACAATACACAAAGGAATTTTAAGTGTACAGGAATGATATCATCTATCTATATATATATATATATATATACTAGAACACACCTGCGACATCGCGGTTCCGGGACTGAATTAAAATACCAACGCCTTATTTTCAGGTTGGATTTTTAGTATTCGTATTGTGATAAAGTCATGCTGATTATAAGGTGCACAGTTTTCTCTGCTTTCAAAATCTTCCTGTTTGAATCCGTCCTGGTTTTCTTACTACAACCGGAAACTACTTGTTGATATTTTTTTTTGGTCAATGATTGAATTAAGTAGTGTCAATCCCTGTATAATGACGAAGTTCAGGTGTGATTATGACCCGTGTATATAGCAAATCCCAAATACACCGTTTGGTGGTGCGCCTGACAGAGGCGGAACGTACAGATTAGGTAACAGGTAACAGGTACTATTGGTTTCGGTATCAAATTCGACCCGAAACGTCTTAATTATTGGTAATATTAATTATGTGGAAAACAAAAGGGCCTGAAATGGTGTAATTTTTAATCAACATCATTATCCTATATCAGTTATATATAAATTGAATTTTTTGATTCGTCGTTTTTACGTCATGCCGGCCAACAATTGAACCTCGTTATTTTAGTAGCATAGATATATTATATCCTTTATTATAGAAGTTTGTAAATCAACGTCAGATAAAACTGCATTCCTGGAAGAAGATATTGAAACTTAGGATTTGAATCTTCCGATACTGGGAAAATCCTGCTTCATTCATATAAAAAAAAAATCCAAAATGAAAACATCGCAATAATTTCCGAATTTACAGTATTTGAAGACCTGGGTATTGGTGGCGGATTTGAGATTGTTTTTGTTAAATTCATATTTTGTAGTGTGTCTTTCTATGTTGTAATGTTACACTACTGTTTCAGGTTAGGGTGAAGGCAGTGGCGTAGCAAGGCTATTTTTAAGTGTACGCACGAACCTCGGCGAGTGGTATGAAGGCCGCCCCGGCGGCCCCAGGGCAGAGGACCTCCGGGTAGGGGGCGAAACCCCCTGAAGCTCACGCGTTATTGTGAAAAAGATACCATTTCTGTCATTCAAAATTCATCAATAGCAACATACTTGGTTGGTTGAGAACAAAACTCTACTAAATAAGAGATGACTTCAGCTTTCCAGTTGTGAACTTTCCATTTCTATGTAGCAACATTCCAGTAGAACCTGCATATGGAGTATATATCTCCCAGTTGATACGATATTTCAGAACTTGCATTTCCCATCATGGTTTCCTTGAATGAAATTGCTACGTACAAGGAAGCTATTAAACCAAGAGTTCCAAGTGGTGAAGTTGAAATGCATTCTGCGAAAATTTTAAGAGCGCTATCACGAGCTGGTAGACTGTTTCACAGTTGACGACGGACATGTTCCATTGTTGTCACCATAATTCCGTCCTCTTTTCCTCGAATTTGACCTACCGAATTAGACTTATCACCCAGTTTTTACTTACATGAGCAACACGACGGGTGCCACATTTGGAACAGGACATGCTTACCCTTCAGTCTGGAGCACCTGAGATCAGCACGGGTTTAGGTGGGGTTCGTATTGCCTAGTCTTTAGTTTTCTATGTTGTCTTTTATGTACTGTTGTCCGTCTTTTCGTCGTTTTTCGTCTTTTGAAATGGCATTGTCAGTTTGTTTTCAACTGAGATTAAATATCCCTTTGGTATCTTTCGCCTCTCTTTTAAAGTTTGATTTGGGTTTTTTTCATGTTGATTTCATTGTGTTGATTTGGAATTTAATTGTCCTTTGTTTAAGAGAAAAATGTCCAAACCAATTACTTTAGAATATGTTTAAAAGGAGATGTTGGGTAAACCAATCAATCGACAAAGCAATCAAAACTTTATAGAAATAGAAAAAACAGCAAGTTCTATTAATTATTTTAACTTCATATAATTTTCACACCTTTTTACGGGAAAATTTCGTTAATGGACGCATGAAATAATTAATTTTTATAGACTGATGGTCAGGTGTAACATAAAATTGCAAGACACACATATATTGTATCCCAGAAGATACTAAATTGCTTTAAACAATAGTAATCTGAGTAGAATATTCACAGTAGATTCAAAGTTTGACAGAAAATGAACAAATATATAATATGATACCATTTGATTAAAAAGTAAATTTCGTCACTTTGATCTTCAATTACAAGTCATCGGAGAAAGCATTACAATTGCTCGTGTGCTTTAAACGGTTCCTTTAATTTATTTGGATCAAAATATTTTTCCCTCCAATATTCATGTGTACGCCCGGGCGTTTTAACGTAAACGTAGCTACGCGCCTGGAAGGTTGGCGCCTGTTAAAACGTTTAAACCCGCTGCATTTGTTTGCACCTGTCCTAAGTCATGAACCTGTTGTTCAGTGGTTGTCGTTTGTTGATGTGGTTCATTAGTGTTTCTCGTTTTTTATATAGATTGGACCGTTGGTTTTCCTGTTTGAATTGTTTTACACTTGTCATTTTGGGGCCCTTTATAGCTTGTTGTTCGGTGTGAGCCAAGGCTCCGTGTTGAAGGCCGTACTTTGACCTATAATTGTTAACTTTTTACACATTGTGACTTTGATGGAGTGTTGTCTCATTGGCACTCATACCACATCTTCTTATTTCTATTCACAACATTTATAGAACTCCGAGTTAGAGTTTGACATCTGTCTATTGTTGAAGACTTTATGTTGCCCCCTAAGTGTCTTTTTATTATTTTTGTCGATGTGTTGCTCATCTTTAATTCGTATAAAGCTATCCAGAGGCCAGTTACTGATGGACGTAGTGTCTTAGTGATATCTGAATACTCCATTGATTACAGTGTGTTCTTGTGCTGTGCTGCTGATACATCACTGTTACGGATTAGAGGAAGGTTGGGTGCCCGCAAAATGGTTAAGTTCACCTCATTCTCTGTGTGCCTGTTCCAGGCCAGGAGCCTGTAGTTCAGTGATTGTGGTATTTATTCGTTTATTGATTGTACTAGACAAGTATATAAATTAGACCGTAAGTTTTCTCGTTTCAATTAATTTACATTTTGCCACACCTTTCTAATCTTGCTATGCGGTACGGGTTTTGTTCATTGTTGAAGGCCATACTGTTACACATAGTTGCTAACATCTACATCATTCGGTCTCTGGTTGAGTTGTCGTGTCCTTGGCAATCATACGACATCTTATTATTGTCATATACGATACACATTTTATATATTTTCATCAGTATAACAAAACAAAAAAAACACATTTACCATGTGTATTATATAACAAAAGTAGTTTTAATATATATAAAAACTGTACATTCATTTCATTGAAGAATTGATGAAAAATGGATAAAATGTGAATAACCCTCTACACTGCATCAGGCATTGCTTCATGGAAGAATTGCTGATGTAAGAGAAGGAGGAATAAGTACGGTATCGATGATATGAATAACACCATTGGACACTGAATCATCGGCTCTTTCTACAGTGGCTTTTCCAACCATAACTTTCCCTAAAAAAAATAAAGGAGAGTCATCTTCCAATCAAACATAATTATGGGCTAGATCTACACATGTACAGTTAAACATTATACATATTTGCAGTTAAACATCAAATATACATATTTGCAGTTAAACATTAAATATACATATTTGCAGTTAAACATTAAATATACATACTTGCAGTTAAACATTAAATATACATATTGATTTTGCAGTTAAACACTAGATATACATATTTACCGCTAAACACTAAATATACATATTTGCAGCTAAGGACTTAATGTATGCATATTAGTCGCGAAACACTAAATATACATAATTGTTGCTAAATACTAAATATGCATATTTGTCGATAAACACTACATGTACATATTTGCCGCTAAACCTTTCATATATTTTAATCTCTAAGCACAAAATACTAGTATTTGCTAATTACTTATTCAGAAAGCTTCACAAAGAAAATGGATTTTTTTTCAGTCGGTTATAGTTTCGAATTGGTAGCCATTGAAAAAATCTCTGTTCTGCGTCCCTCCGTTATACGCACCGAAATGGTTTTCGTCTCTTATCATCCGACATTCACCTCGCACTTTTGTAGATGAAACTCTTATCCATTCAAACGTTGTACATATTTAACTATTATATTATGTTGCAGATTTAATAAGAATAGGTATAATACATACACATACAATTAAGAGTAAACAAACAAAATGGATTCAAAAAATATTAAACAAACCTCCACTAATGGTGATTGTGACTGGTTTTCCTTCTACTGTTGTTGCTGACATTCCAGATGTTAAACCAGCACTATAGAACGTTCCAGAAACCACATGATAGGTCAAGACGTCGGTCAAGGCTGTCTTGTTTTTTAAAAGATTGTCCAATGTTCCAGCGGGCAATTTCTGGAAAGCTGCATTTGTGGGCGCAAACACGGTGAATGGACCAGGGCCTAAAATATAATAAAACTTGTAAAATATATATTACGGAAGTCAATGTCGCTTACAGCTACATATCTAACGCAGTAGCGTTCTGAAACTGTACAACAGCCTAGAGTTATCGTGTTCTAAAGGACATATCGAAATAGATAGAGAAGCTAAACTGTATAATCAACCATTTTTTTCTTCGAAATGAAACACGATTTATTCATAAGTTATTGTACATTATCCACCATCTTTATTGGGATGTTGGAAATTTAGATCTTCCTGCAATTTTTTAACAGTTTCCTATTGATATATAAGGAAGTGAAAAATATATTTACCTGAGAGCGTTTGTACGAGATCAGCAGCCTTGACAGCTGTGAGGAGAGTAGACAACATAGGATCCCGTCCTACCATTCCTGTTACCGGCACTATTGGTAGAGGAAACATGACTTTGTCTATAACATGGATGACTCCATTGGAAGCATTCTGATTTGGCATAACTACAGGGCTTCCTGATGCTGTAATCACCTGTCAATTAAATACAAAATATACACATTAGTTGTCTCTTTGACACATTCTACGTGTCCATTCTCTATTATACAGTGACATAGAAGAATGAAAAAAGTGTGGGGGACAAACGGTAGCTGACTGGTCTAAGTAGTTAATCTACAGTATCATAAGCATGTTAGCACTGAGGTTGTCATGTAGAACCTCGCATGTTTGACTTCTAACTTAATTAACTAGGATTGCCAGTTTTCCTTCCGAAGGTCAGTAGAGTTCTCGCCGGGAAACCCGATTTCCTCCACCAATACAAACCGACAGCAACGATATAGCCGATAGTGAGTGGGTGGACAGGGGTAAGGAAACATGAAAACGAGGTGGCGGAAAACAGGAGTCAGGATGGAAGGAAGTGGAAGTCAGAGGTATGGAAGTAGAAGCAGAGGGTGGGAACTGGTGGAAGAGGTGGGGTAAAATCTGGGATATTCTGGGGAAAAAATTACCGATTTTATTTTTGGAGTAAGGGGGAGGGAAGTTGAAGTTAGACACAAACAACTCCTGTCACATGACATTAAAGTATCACAATACCTAATGCAGATTGAAAGCTGCGGTTGGAAAGAAAAGAATTATTCAAGAGTTTCCGAATGTGAAGAACTGTTTTTAGTAAAGTTTCAGTCGCACTGCCTTAATATTGTCATTGTCAGCAATTCAGTCAAAAGTTGTCCGAAAATTTAATGGAAATTCTAGGTAAGATTGTGCGGAATTCTGAACGAAATTTCAAGAAATTAATATTCGAAGCGAATTAAATGTAATTTATCGCTGTTTTTTACGTACATTCTATACATTTACAGATCCTTTTCATATTTTTCTAATTGATAATACTTCTGGAAATATAAATGGTACGTATTTCACTTTTTTCGAAAATGAAACAAAGCCAAAATATCTCGGGGAAAAGGCTTTACACTTAATCCATTGAATTCCTGTTGGATGTGTACTAACTGATATTTAAGTCTCAGATACCTGATTTTTTTTTATTAGACTTAGTTGTTATGTTGGCTTTGAACTAGTTTTCATTAACTGCGAGTACTCTCAGATCTCTACTTTGCGCCTTTAATGATTTTGTAAGTTTATTTTTGTGCATGGTATCTATCTGATGTGTTTAGCTCTATTCAACTGATTTTTATAGTGTGTTCTTATGTCGTGCTGTTACACCACTGTCCTAGATTAAGGGGCAGGTTGGGCACCAGCATGCATTTTTAACCCCGCCACACTCTGTTTGTGCCTGTCCGAAGCCAGGAGCCTGTAATTCAGTGGTGTCGTTGGTCGCTGTCTATCATATTTGTCTTTTGTTTTAGTGCATAAATCATATCTTTAGTTTGAATTGTTTAACAATTGTCATTTCGGGGCCTTTTTATAGTTTGCTATTGGTATGGGTTTTGCTCATTGTTGAAGCCTACGGTGACCTATAGTTGATAAATTCTATGTCATTTGGTCTATGGTGGTCACATCTTCTTATTTTCATATTTTAATCAAAATAAAGCTATTTTAAAAAAAGTTTGAAAATAACTAATTTAGATCGTTGAGAACCTTAATATTTCCTTAACAATAGAACGTGATTAAAACGTTCAGCTGATTTTATCAGAGTTACCTCCCTGTAGTGTTATGTACAAATTTTTACTCATTTTTACTTTTTTTTTTTTCTCGTCATTCTAAATTATATCAATTACCATATGGTTAAACCTAAATTATTTAAATTCCCAAAAAGGCGCAAGCCAGGGCCGACCGTGCAAGGGCTGTATAGCCAGTCAAGGTTGTTAAAAACTTCCATACATATATAAACAAAAAAACTGGGGGAATGGCATGAGCTCTAAAAGTAGCGAGACCGGGTTCATCGACAGGATCACAGTCTCCTACTAGGCATACATCACTCGCCATGAGAATACACACTCCCTCAGCCAGAAGGGCACAATCGGAAAGTCATATTGTTCATTAACATTTTCATATATTCTCCACGTGTTCATGTTCTTATACATTCTTGGCTTTATTTTGTTTGGTTTTGGGCCTTCCTGGTGAAGGTATTTATATATATGTAGAAAATCTCTCGTGGTATTTTCATTTTCATATATACTAGTTGCAAATTATATATTAATACGTGACAGTAATAAAATCTGATGCAGACTCAGTCACAACACATTCATTTCAATTGTTATCAAAACATTCCCGAACAATCCTCTAATTACCTTTCCGCCTTGGTAAATGTTGATACGGACTTTAGCCATTGGGTTTAGTGAAGGAGCAACCAGTTCATTGGACAGCTGTGTTGAATATACTTTCCCGCTAAGGACATGGAACTTCAGTACGTCAGCTAGCAGTTTTTTGTCCTTTTTTAATAGTTCTACTACTTTTGGTGGTAATTTGTTGAAAGCATCATCAGTTGGTCCAAACACAGTAAAGGGTCCTGAACAAAATTATAAAATAAAAATTTAAAACTACATGTTAAACAAAATCGAGAATGGAAATGGGGAATGTGTCAAAGAGACAACCCGACCAAAGAGCAGAAAACAGCCCAAGGCCACCAATGGATCTTCAACACAGCGAGAAAATCCCGCAACCAGAGACGGGCTTCAGCTGGCCCCTAAGCAAAAATGTGTACTAGTTCAGTGAAAATGCACGTCACACTAAACTCGAAACATATAAATGAACTAAAAATAAAAAAACATACAAGACTAACAAAGGCCAGAGGCTCCTGACTTGAAGCAGGCGCACAAATGTGTGCCTATATTTAATATAAAATTTGATGCAACAGTGGAGAAAGCTAGTAGGAAAATTCGCCATTTCAGGATCTAACGCATTCTGAGTAATATTTTCAAAAGCGTATAACATTGAAACGTTGTGATTGACTAACAACGTCCAACGACGAATTACAACAACAAAAAAGAAGTCGAAAAAACAGTACAAAAAAGTAACTGGTTAAACATTTACTTTTTCCATTGAATTATTGAGGTATAAATGTAAATACTTGAGGTTAAGAATGTGTGGGTCTTACCTCAATGATACAGCAACTCGTTGTCACAAAACTCATAAGAGACAATCATAAAAGATTCAGCAACAGATAAGTACAAAAAATGTACATATGTACAATATGTCGAGCTCTAAATCGCCTCGAGTCTTGTACTTTTCTTACAGAATAAACGAATGTTTTCATGAACACAGGTGGGAGAGCGGGTGGGAATCCTCCACTCTTTCTCACAACTTACACACATATTAATATACGAAACGGAAACCGGTAAAGAGTATTATACTTTAATATGTTGGTCTTTAAAGTTCCAAAGTTTTATTAATTTGCATATAGCATATATATATATGTGCATGCAAAACAAACTTGGTAGAGGGGTCTAAATACAGCACAAACAACATTTTCCAAAAGACCAAAAAAGTTAAAAAGTATATTTAAACAAAACGCATTTGACTAACAGGTCGAACAACGGATTTTCTTAAACCCTGCTGACTGCCATTGGCGATTGCCAAATAAACGGATCACAAGATGTAACAAAATGGATCTGTATTATTAATTTAATACCAAACAGAAAACAATAAACTTGCGGAAAAGATGGTATACCGCAAACATGAAGTGCAAAAATTTGTACACCATATCCGGATTTCGACAATTAATGTCTCTTCAGTGATGTTAGGAATCGAAACGGTATTTGGAAGGCCATATAATTTACCTCAATTTAGGATAGACTCTTGAATTTTGAAGAATCGAAATAGGATGAACGGATCATATAAACCCGAAATCAAATATAATACAAGCCCAAACGAAAAAAATATAAATAAGTCTAAATTGAAAACAACGTTCAAACCTATGATTGCGTTGGATAAAAACCGCAATTTTTATACATGTGCATGCAAAACAAAACCTTGGTAGAGGGGTCTAAATACAGCCCAAGCAACATTTTCCAAAAGACCAAAAAAGTGAAAAAGTATATTTAAACAAAACGCATTTCACTAACAGGTCGAACAACGGATGTTCTTAAACCCTATGATATATGTATACAGAATGTGTTTTCAGCCTTGTATCACCATCACTGGTGATCCGATGGATAAAATCTGTTGTAGAGTTGTCACTGGTTCAGACGTACTTATATACATAGTGGGACCGTTCCAAAAAATATGTTTTTCCTTTCCCTTTTTCGTTATACATAAATATATTCTTGTCCCTCAACTTTTAGTTACGCTCACACAATGTTCTATAGTTAGTTCTGCCACCCTTGCAATTCTTTGTAATCTGCTATAGTATTCAAAATCTATAAAGATCAGGCACCCCTGTTTACAGTATTACTTTCCTGTGACATCTAGCAAACAATTCAGTGGAATAAATCATTTTGAAAATTCTGAATAAGCTACATTAAAATGAAAAATGTACTGTACCAATAATTCGACGACCAGTTTAATCATATTTTTTTGTTTAACTATACCTCCATTTGCAAGGGTGTCTGCTAGACCAGCCTCTGTCACAAACTGAACTAATGTTTTTGCTCCTAGTTTTGTAGCTAACTGTACTAGATTATCTGTCTGTCCAAGAGCAGGAATGGCCAGGCAGGCAAGCAAACCAAAACAAATGAGCTTCATTATAGTTATGTTCAGTGTTTACAGTTGACCAGTGTTCCTCAGTCTCCTGTTCGTCAGCACCGATTATGATTTTTATATCAAACGGTCACGAGATCAACAGCACGCGACCAGTCCACGTTTTTAAAATCTTAAGACAGATACAGGTGACAAGATAAATAATGTTATATAACTGACCAACATCAAGTACATGATAAGTTTAAGGTCAAATTCTTTGGTAGCTATGTTGAATAATAACTAGTAACGTTGTTCATTTTCTTCGCGAACGTGTATCTGTTACAGTGAATTTGTAGAATTAGGGATTATAAAATGATTTATTTATTGAAATAATGCACTATTATACCCCAATGGGGGTTGATGTCATACATGAAAACAAAACAACTCATTACATAATAATCACAAAAATAACAAGTGAAACTGTGAGCTACTGCTCACTGATGATACCCCCGCCAAAATACTTGACGTTAAACAGGAAATTCTGGAGTGATGAATCTGAAAACGCATCACACGGTATAGCTGACTTATATAAACGCTGAAACCAAATTTCAAAAATCCTTGTAATGTAGTTCCTGAGACACATGCGACGAAAAATATTCATGGGACGGACGGACTTACGGATGGATGGATGGATGGACTGACGGACGGATGGGCAGACAAAGGTAAAATAGTATGCCCTTTTTTTTAAAGCGGGGGTATAATTAAAAAAAAGACATGAATTATCACTGGTAACTTAAGTGTTTATATATGATAACTAAAATTTTCAGGAATTATGCATAATCACTAGAAAAAATGTCTGGAATTATACATAATAATTTGAATGAAGAGACAATCAATAAAGATAAAGTGAAATAATTGTTTCTATAAAATCACATTTAAACATCTTTAGAAACATAAACATGATAAATATTAAAATCTTATGCACAATATTCTAATATTACAAACTACATTGTAAATTTGAAAGACATCTACTATGAGGGTCTGGGTGGGGGTCCCTCATTTCTTTATTCTTTAATTTTTTAGATGCATTTTCTCTATACTTTTATTTATTTTGCCCATTATTCTCTATTCTGTATATTTTAGCACACTACTATTCTCTATTCTTATTTTTTTGTCTATTTTTGTCAATTCTTTATCTTAAGCCCTTTATTTTGCTCTATTTGCCCATTATTCTGTATTCTGTAAACCCCATCCAGACCTTTTACTATAATTGAACATTTGCTTTGCTTATCCTTGTTTTTTGCAACAAAAAAATACCCCCAAAAAAACTTTAGCCTTCATAAATTGATTCTGATTTTACTGTATTTTGAAGAGAAATAAAGTGTTCTTTGAAACATCTGAAGGTGCATAAAAAGGTCAATCAGACACCTTAAATTGATTACTTGTGTATTATCTGAGCATAATTTCATGTTTCATAGTCAGGCGTTATCCTTTTCAGCCCTTTTATGAACTATGGCCATTTTTTGTCTCCCTTTCCACGATCATCATGAGGAATCGGTATCACAGCCTCCAAAATTATGTCCGATCTTTGCCAAGCATGTGTTCTGTTTGTCTTTCCAGACGTTTACTTGCATTTCTTTGCTTAGATAGAATTCTTTGTTCGTTAACTTTCATCCCCTTTGTTTTACAGCAAATTACATGATCTGTGCATTTATGTTGGTACTATTAATTTTAATTTACTTATTTATAAATCAGAAGATGTGGTATGAGTGCCAATGAGACAACTCTCCATCCAAGTCACAATGCGTAAAAAGTAAACAATTATAGGTCAAAGTATACGGCCTTTAACACGGAGCCTTGTCTCACACCGAACAGCAAGCTATAAAGAACCCCAAAATGACTAGTGTCAAACAATTCAAACAGGAAAACCAACGGTCTAATCTATATAAAAAACGAGATGTTTATGAGTTACTGTGGTTTAACACAGTTAGATAAAATATCACCAGAAAAAAACTGTTCACTTTAATAAGATTTGATAAATGGACAGGGAATTAAAACTGTCCACTTAAACCATAAAGAGGTTATACATATAATTTATTTTTACCAAGCAGAGATTTTTTGTACATTGATTATTCCTGAAATTCAAGGGAATTTATAAAATAATTCTTAAAATTTTCAGTGATGATGTAGAATCACTGGTCATTTTCAGGGATTATATATAATCATTAATGATTTTAGTGATTATGCAAAATCCCTGAAAAATCAGGGATTATACAAATTCACTGTAACATATCTACTTCAGTGTTTAGGGTGAACAGTCTTTTCAACTGATTTTCATAGTTTGTTTTATGTTAAACTGTAACACCACTGTCCCGGGTTAGGGGAGGGTTGAGCGCTCACAAACATGTTTAACCCCGCAACATTCTGTATGTGCCTGTCCAAAGTCAGGAACCTGTAGTTCAGTAGTTGTTGTTGGTTCATGTCTGTCAAATTTGTTTTTCGTTAATTGTTTTGTTTTAAATTAGGCCGTTAGTTTTTCTCAATTGAATTGTTTCATATTTTTCATGTCGGGGCCTTTTATAGCCGACTATACGGTATGGGTTTTGTCATTGTTGAAGGCTGTACGGTTGCCTATAATTGCTTACATCCACTTCATTTAAATTTTGGTGGATAGTTGTCTCATTTGCAATCATACCACATCTCATTGTTTTTATATTTCCACAACAGATAGACAAATAGATCTGTTCACGAGATAAAAACTACATCAAAAGGAATGTTGTTAGTCTGTTTGTCTTTTGCTTTTTTGCCATGGCGTAGTCAGTTGTTTTTTACTTATGAGTTAGAATGTCCCTTTGGTATATTTCGCCTCTATTTTGGTGTCAGACCACCAATTACTCCCTCAAATTATAAAAGTAGTCCTACTCTGACACTAAATAGTGCTTTTGATGTCCTTGTTCACTTGAACTAACCAACAAATTTGCAGAAATGAAACTGTTGATGAAAGAGAAATATATTAAGATCATTTTGAGCCAAAATTTACTTGTCTATGAGTTTGCATTAAAAATTCAGGATAAATGCGCTCCATATAGTATACTAATTTAAGATTTCCAGAAAACCAGGAGTTATTTTGGTAGTACCTGTGTTTCCAAGATCAGATTTTTCTTATAAGATTTTAAACATGGGTTGAAAATTGGCACGTAGAAAGGTGATACATGTACAATTCAGGATATACCTGTTTTTTATGAAGTTAAACTTATTAAGGTAAAATATTTACAAAGCTGTGAAAATTGCCAAATTTGGTTGAACATATAGGGATTTTTAATTGGTGGTCTGACACCTTTTGCAGTAACCAGTGAAAATCTTAGAGAAAACTAAAGAATTCTATATACAGTATTTTTCATACCTATAACTTACGGGTTTCTATCGTAAGATGAGGCAGGGCGAAATGATAGTTTGTTGAAAACTCCCCTTACCCAGAAAACCTCCTCTGGTGGTTCTGTCCAGTATGATTCGGGCTTTGCCAAAATCGACAAAATTCATCGGGCTAATTATACCTGTTACGTTATTTTTTACCCCCTCCATCATTCGCTTAGTAATTGGCAAGCCAATGCTGAAATAATAAAAGTTCGGGTGTACTGACATCGTATAAATGTTACACAACACATGATTACAGATTAGTACGCTCGTCTGTTATCAATGCCTTCATTATGAAGTCTTTATCAATAGTCGTATGTTTGAACTTGTGATGGACATAACAATCACAGTCGATTATAACCGAATAAAATTGTATAATCAATTTTGTATGTTTACAAATACTCTCTCTCTCTCTCTCTCTCTCTTAGGTGCAATAAATCACATATTAGGAAGTCCTCCCAATCATCGTTTCGGTCCACAGGCACCTGTTTCTGAAAACAATTACCTATAGTATATAGATATTTTTTTTCAGAGACAAGTGCCTGTGTTTCAGTCATATTGGTATTTTTGTAGCTCTTGTATTGCTGTTCATTTTTGCTATTAACTGTTTTTATCTACCTATTATAGTTTTCAGGAAAATTTGTATTAGTCGAAAATTGTCATTTAATGAAAATTAATCGTATCAGGAATCCTCTTATGGTTTCAATCATTTGGTTTTTTTTGTAGAACTTTTATTGCTGGTAATTTCTGCTGTTTACAGTTCCGGCTACCTTCCTACAAGGATTTATATATTTGTCACTATACAAATCCTTGATAAATACTATAATTTTCAAAATAGATAAAAACACTAAAATTTGTCAAACTCCTTAACAAGTCACCTAATATAGTTTCTGTAAATCGACAGTGCCTGTCATATTTGTTTTTGTAAATTTTTAACCGGGCCGTTTTCCGACAGAAGTCCGGTTATAATGATTTGGGTTTGTACGGGGGGCTAGTACGTGACTCCAGTTGTTCCCGTTCTATATAAACGTATGAACCGTTCAACCAATGCTTTTCAAATTTAAATCTGTTGAAACTGATCACAGGCTCTTGGGAAATAGACATCCCCTCTTTTTTTTATTATTCATTTTAGGTAAAGTTTCTTCATTTCTTTAGTGTTTAACTTATTTTCCCCTTTTTAACTATATGCCATATCTTTACAATTGAATAATAACAGTATGATATGACCGATGCCTCTCAACTTTCATTTTCCTCATTATACTGATAACAAGATGAAAGTCAATTAAGTTCGGTATCGACGATTTTTACATCGGATGTGACCTTGAGAGGTCATACCGGTATTATGTTGCCGCAGAAATTTTCTTGCCGTTTGACTGATAACCGAACGTATTTCGTATAATTACACGGATATTATCGAGTGCAAAATAACATTCCTTATCGCTTGTTATATATCAATTTTATCAATAAATATTCATGAAAATAATTTTTAAGAAAATAGATAAATGTATGAAAATGTTTTGTCGTGAGAAATATATATATCAATAACAAATCATGGATACCGAAAATTTGTGTTAACGCAGGCGGAAGAATATCTCGAGAACGTTTTGCAACAATAGCGGGAAAAAAGGAATAAAATTGAGAATGGAAATGAGGAATATGTCAAAAAGACAACAACCCGACCAAAGAGCAGACAACAACCCGACCAA